AAGGGGGAAAAAGAAGCAGTTTTGTTTGTTTATAAATTTTCCTTGATCATTTTTTGGAGTCTTTGTAGCGCCTCATTTCAGCTTGTAGTCTCTTCTTTTTAGGTTAACAATCAGGTAAAAAATAGTGAATTTTTTGTTACCTATTAGAATGTATATTTTTTTACTACAGTTCTAAAAGTAACTTATTTTTTTCTTCATAATCCAAATAAAAAATATATTATGCGTTATATATCTATATATATATATAGATATATTGTTTGTTTGTCAACGCTTCTAATTATATTCCTTTCAATGTACCGACGATTGATTTACTATAAAAATTAGATAAACTTACCCACTTTTAACCTTTTATTAGCATATTTTTAATTTCTGTTACATAAAACGGTACTCTTATCGTATGTAAATTTTGTGAATAGTTTGGACTATTATTACCTCCTTATCCTATCCAGTTCATTCCCTTTCGGACATCCTGAAGATACACTCCTTCGTTGACAAAATTTTTTTGAGTTTTCTTTCAGAAATACTGAACGCCCCCATCTTTTCGTCTTTTACTCTTGTATTCGTTCACTGATTGACATTTATTTTATTTCGTCGTTTGTTAAACGTAAAGAGAGGAAACAGTCTGACAATTTCTGAAAAATATGTTACATATTTTTCCCCAGAAGTGATGGCAGTCTAAAAGTAAACTATCTTGGTGCAATTGTTTCTCCAGAGCACTTTTCTTGGGACTTTGTTGCAGCATTTAAGGTAAAAGAGGTTAGGGGCAAGGTTATGTTAAAATAAGACTCCTATAGCAGAATTTCATAATCGATATACTATTCTTTTCATCATCTTGGGAAATATACAACAAAATACTATGCTAGTGTTTAAGCAGTTTGCGATAAAGGTGTTTTTTTAAAAATGGCTTACATAGGATCGCCTCTCGAAGAGGGGGGAGGGGGGGGGAAGAAGTATACTAAACAGAAAAAAACGCGACTGGAAACAGCATAATTGTGACCCCAAGGACACATTCATAGTGCTAAACACAATAAAATCTGAAGACAGAAAGGTGGAATTATTTGAAGCAAACTTTATCTAAACTCTTTGTGCGTCATTTGAAGCTCCTAAAGAATCACCCTAGTTCAAACACTCCTCCATATTTCATCAAAATGGTATTCGAGCCCATTAATATAAAAATAAATTTGACTTATGCATGAAATGCTTTTAGAGAGGCTGTCCCTAAAGGCTAGGAAAACACCTTCAACCTATATAACAGCCTCACTCTCTCACGTCTGAACAGATATTTTTATTCGACTCCACATCAAGACACTATTCATCCTCTTGGAACATTTTTAAAGTGATCTGAAATAACTCGCGCAATAACAAAGGTCAATCCCTTCACAAAAGCGATATGGAGGAACTCATTGGGCCCGTGCGCATTGCTCTGGGGTCCAAGTATCCCCGTCACGATAAACTGAGCCTTCTTGTAGGTCTCGATAAGCCTCCCAACACACGGGATGGAGCCACCCATTCCTTGGCACGCATAAGTCCTTCCAAAGGCCAGGAGGCTGCCCTCATCGAGTGCTTTATGCAGCCATGACGTCAACTCTGGCATGCAGAACCCGTTGCCATTGTTCCCCGGTTCAAACCGAACTCTAGCATTGTAAGGCGGGCTATCCTCGAGGACTCTGCGCATGGCATTTAACACTACTTCCGAATCGACAGTTGGAGGCGTACGCAGCGATAGCTTCACGGCGGTCTCCGTGCGAATCACATTGCCAGCCACCAGAGGGTCCGGGAGGTTAGTCCCCACAACGGTGAGGCTAGGCTCCCAGAAGTTTCGTAGGGCCAGCGTTTTGTTGTCGACCTGGCCTAAGGATACCCCGGGAAGGGTCGCAAACTGCTCCTTAAAGTGCACCTCGTTCATTACCTCCAAAGCTCTGACGACATTCTCGGGGATGATGCAATGGGCCTCCGGGAGCTTCACTTGGCCTGTCTTGGAATCCTCAAGTCGGTCCACCAGCTCACGGGTAATTCGAAAGGTATCGGGCACAACGCCACCTGCGATACCGCTGTGCATAGCCTCAGAAAGGGTCTCTACATGCAGCACACCGTCTACAAGACCGCGCAGAGAGGTAGTGAGCCACACCTGCTCATAGTTCATTCAACCGCTGTCAAGGCAGATCATGAGATCCATGACCCCGATTTTTTCACGAAAACGGTCCATATAGTACTCCAGATCAGGGCTTCCATACTCCTCACCGGATTCAATCGCAACGAGGATACGGCCGTGTGGTATGCCGTTGCGTTGAAGAGAGGCAATGCTGCAGATAGACAAAAAAATTGCGTACCCATCGTCGCTGGCCCCACGACCGTAGAGCTCACCGTCGCGTACGACCGGTTTGGTAGGGTCAAGTCCTTCCCCCCACGACCTCAGAGGGGGCTGCTTGTCCATGTGGCCGTACAAAAACACCGCGTGCTTGGTTGGCTCTGTGCCAGCGATGTCGATTAACAGGAACGGAGTCCGGCCTTTTTCCTGGACGTACTCGTAAGTGAGGCCGTGGAGGTTTTGGCTGTCCACCCAGTCAATCATAATCCGAAAGACCCTCTCCATAAGACCGTTGGTGGCCCACTCCGCATCGAAATCAGGACTTTGATTGGGCACCTCCAAATACGCGGAGAGGGCGGAAATGATGGAACCATCCCACTCTTCCTCGATCGTCGCCTTTACCTAATTCCAATCAACGGACATGGCCTTCCAAGGGGAGCTAGGGGATGTGTGGATTGCTGTAAAAGTGTTTCTTAATGCGTAAAAAGAGACGAATAATTTAGCTTTTTCAGAA